GGGGTTCAGGGAACAAAGCCCGGCTTGGTAGGGAGCTTTTCGCTCGCTGGCTCCGCGCTCCTCTTCCCTCTTTCTTTTCCTTCCTGTAGTTCTCACTCGGCGCTCCCGAGCCCTCCCTCTGCCCGTCTTTCGGTCTCGGCTCCGGGTCCGAGTCTCCAGACTCCCCCTCCCAGCTCTTCGTTTCTGCGGCCGTTTCTCAACCCCAAGGACATTGGGGGTGGAGAGCAGGGGAAGGGGCGCTGGGAGTCGCTCGCCCCTCCGGGTCTGGGGCTCTTCGGATGGCCGCTCGTGCGCCCTTTCCTCGGAGGCCATTCTGTAGGGTAAACGCTCCAACACGCAGACATTTGTTCATTTAACAAGTATTTATTGAATGCTTACTATGTGCAGCCGCTGGGTAGCGCAGCGAATAAAACAGGTATTCCTGCCCTCGGGGAGCTTCCGGTCCAGCTCACGGACACACACGCACCGGGACTCGTCACCCTTGCAGACACCCCGAGGCACCCAGACACACACCCTCACTCCCAGCCTCCTCCAGCCACACCACCCGCCCCTCCCAGGGAGAGACAAACCCAGGTCCAGTCCCACAGGAGCTTAGAGACCCACGCAAGTTAGAGACTCACGCCTACGGAAGCGGTCACAGACCAGCTACCCTTGACCTCTAGGCACACACACAAACACACAACAAACACACACAGCCCCCCCCCCCAAGGAATTAAAGCCCCTGAAATTGGATCTGGAAAGAAGAGAGGGGGTGTCAGCTTGAAGGCTTCATCCCCAAGACCCGTGTGGGCAAAGGGGACGAAATCTGACCGCCCCCCCCCCCGCCCAACTTCCTAAAGGGGTGTTGACACCCGCAGAGACCAAAGGTCACACGCCCTCTCTGGGCGGTGGGGTGGCGGCGGAGAGGAGGCAGCTCTGGGGGGCATCAGCGACACTTCAAAGACCTCTCGGCCGGGAAGGCTTCCTGCGGGGGATGGGCGGCCGGGCAGTGGAGGGGAAGACCCGCAGGGGATTGAGGCTGGAGGAGACGGCCCCCCCCTCCGCGCACTGCCCCCCCTGGCCGACTCTTCCGCCGGGACCGCCTCCTTTTCACCAGCACCTGTTCAACCGGAACATCAAGGGGCCGGGGCCCGCCGTCTCCCCTCCCTTCGCGTCTATTTAGTACCTTTCATCCGGGAAGGGAGGGGGTGAATCCCCGCCCTGGAGGGGGATGGAGGGCGGGGGAGAACTTGTCCTTGACCTGGTCTGTGGCGTCAGGGATTGACTCCCTTAATCCCGGCAAAGCTAGAGTTTGAGGAGGTTGGGGAGGCTGAGTTCTGGGCTGCGGCCACCACCCTCCCTTTCTCCTGCAGGGACGCGGGAGTTCCGGAGGGCTGCCGGGACGAAGAGGTTCTGTCTGCACGGGCGGGGCGGGGGGAGGCCG